GGCCCCCCGGCCCCCGAGACCGGCCAGGGCACGAGCCCTTCCCCGCGATGCCGCGGGGGCTTTCTGCGCAGAGCTTGTACGTGGCGCGCTATAAACGTCGCAGATCGCCCTGCCCGGCTCGTGCTTCCCTGCTGCGCTTTGCACCCCGCGGCTGCAGCGGACGGGGCGCCGCGGTCCCTTGGGTGCTCCTACGGCAGCGATTCCTTCATCCCCAGTTTGCCGAGGAGCCCCCGTCCCCGCAGGCTCCGTGTCACCCTCAGGCCCCTCTCCTGGCTCTGTTGGTCACGAGTGTGGGAGGCCTCAGCCCTGCCGGGACCAAACAGGGCTGGGATGTGTCCAGAAGACTGGAGCATCGGCCACCGCGCGCGCCCGGCTCCCCTGGTCCTCTCGCGCCTTTGCTCCTGTTTATTTCTAGCCCGCGTGACTCATTTCTTCCCCGACACTCTATTTCTGAGCCCTTCCCTCAGCTGTAAAACCCCTGGGCCACAGGCCCACCTGCAAGGTCACCAAATCCCTTTCTCCTCCGCTCGCCCACCTGCGCCCAGCAACCCTGGGCATTTTTGGGGAGCCCTGAAGGATACAGGGGAGGCCGGTGCGCAAGTCAGGAGAGCGGCCCCGAGAGACCCGATCGCCTCCATGGGGCTGCCGACGACCTCCTTCCTCCCAGGGCCGGGCGGCTCCTCCGAAGCCGGCGGCCGCTTCCCGGCAGGAGCCGGAGCCCCCACGGGCTGTTTGGAGCTGCCACAAGCACCGCGGTGGCAAAACGTCACCGAGCGGCTTCGAGGCACCGGCCTCCGTTTACCCCGTGCTACTCGCACGCACCCAACCAAGGGGCACAAGCAGCAATTCCCATGGTTTTTTTCCCCTCTGTTTCGTATCTCGTGGATCCGCCACCTCCAGCGGGGAGGAAGGGGGTGTCCGGCCCGCGCTGCACATCCCGCTGCGAAAGGAGAGGGAAAACGTCGCAAAACGAGAGGGAAAACGTCCCGCAGAGGCCGAGAGGGCAGCGGGGAAGGCAGAGCCCCCCGCACGGGGACGGGACGGGGCGCCCGGCGCTGCCACCCAGCGGCGCAGCAAAACAAAGACTGGATTAAGAAAATAGTAATAACGCAAGGAATTTGTTTAGAAGAGAGAAAACAGGCCAGAAAGAAAGAAGGGGAATTAAAATAGGAAATCGAACAAATACAACTAAACGAAATGAATTAAAATTACATATATATACACACACACACACGTATATATACATATATACATACATATATATATATATATATATATATACACATA